AAAAATAATATTTCTGTAAAATTTCCAACACTTGTTCATGACATATTAGAGCTTTATCATATTTTCCTTGTCCATAGTGAACATTTCCTATTCCGCAAAGACTACCAACTGTATTGATATGACCCGATGGATAATATTTTTGTAGCATTGGTAATACTTGTTCAAAAATCTTTAGAGATTTATCATGCTTACCTTGGAGGTATAAAATGTGACCGATGTCGCTGAGGGTCCAAGCAATGTATACATGACCATTTGGATAATATCTACTATAGATTGACATTGCTCGTTGATAGAAATCAAGCGCTTGATCATATTGTTTTTGACATTTAAAAATTGCACCAACATAGTAAAGACTAACAGCGATATCGATATGAGGAAATCGATAATATTTCTCGAACATTGTCAGTGCTTGTTGATGATAGCAAAGTGCTTGTTCATGTCTTTCTTGTCGATCAAAGATCTGGCCAAAACTGCGGAGAATAGTAGCAATAAGCAAATGATCATCTGCGTTAGCTTCTCTCGTTTGTAACCAATCTACTTCTCGTATGTTTCGGCATATTTCTTGTAGCTGAGTTTGGCTTGACTGTTTGTCAACAAGTTCGATTCGGTTTGCTGCATATTTTGGACAGAACCAATAAATAATTCCGAGAATTTTTCCAGCGCAAAACCATCTGAAGCAAGATTGAAAGAATCCACCCAAACTCGATAAAATCGACAAGAACGATGAGGGAACACGACTCAGTACACCGTTGAGTTGATGATTTAATGAAGAAGGTGTATCGACCGTGACAGAAGAATAATTTGTTTTTAGAATAGCCAATGCTCTTTCATAATAATCACGAGCTTCATCATGCTTTCCTTCTAGATAGAGAATATCACCAATATTATAGAGTATATAAACGAAATCTTGGATCCGTAGTGGTTTGATACTTTTTATTCTGTCATGAGCCCAATCATAATATTTTCGTGCTTCTTTCCATTCTCCTTTCCACTGATGCACATCACCAAGACTATATTCAATCTTTGCAAGATCTTCATTATTGCTATTCGAGCTGTTCAATAAACGTTCTAAGAAATGTTGTGATTGAATCCATAGACCCATATCACACATCAATCGTCCAAAGAGAATATTAATACTGAGATCTTTTATTTGGCGACGAGAGTCTTTAATGTATTTTTCTTTAATAATTTGACCTTCATTCGAAACAGTCATTTGAATCAAGCAAATTTCTTCCTCCATTCTCATACTCTCCAATCGAAAAGTGACATTTGAATTGAACAGAGTTTCTTGTTCTTCTTCACATAGATCAGCAATAATGACATTGTTGCTGAGATCTTTCATATCGCATTGAATTTCTAAGAGAACAGAACAAAGATTAGTTTGTTTCGAATGTGTCATCATTTGATTCAATGCAGTTGAACGAAGACTACTTGTTGTGAAAATACCATTGATTGAAAACAATTGACCTTCGCTTTCTTTCAATTTTTCGATTTGATCTCGTGGCAACTTCATTCCTCGATAGACAATTAATTTTTNGGAAAAGACTCAAAAGTCGAGGTTTTGAGAATGTTACTCATATTTCGAATATTTTTCAGCCAAAATTCGATCGAAAAATATTTCAAAGGTGATATTTGTGATCAGCTCGACGAGCTCTATCCAACCATGTAAAAATATAAGGGGGTCAAAATTTTTGTTCTGGAAGCAGCTTACCACTATCAGCATAAAAGTATTTTGACTCTCTCTCAAGTCGCGCATCACTTCCGAGTTTTTCACCACGTACGTTTTAATCAGAAAAAAATTCTCTACAAGATAGACTAGGTCCCGTCGCTGGCGCCGAACTTCGTGTATAAAGTGGAATGTTTCAGATGGATATGCTCTGATGTAAAAGTTACATATGTTTTTGACAAATAATCACTGAAGATATTTTATCTATAATTATATATTATTTTAACTTCTCACGTGATGAAGCTTACAATACATGCATTAATTTTATTCTTAATTGTTCTTCGTGTGCCTTAGGCATGCACTGAATCCGAACGTTCAGACTTGACTATGATAAATCTACACATTGTAGAATAAACGATGTAAAAACCGAAGATCTGTAAGCATTCGAAAACAAAAAAAACAACATTAACGCTGTTTCAAAATACTCAAATTCGAGCTTGACTGAGTAACTTTCGAAACTTGTGTTAATCACTAATAGATCTCTGTCTCCATTGATATTACACAACAAGCTTTAGAAATCTCTACTTTCTGATAATAGATAATGTTTTATTTTCAACCTTTCTAAGACAGCGATGACAACAAAAACTGCCATATTGTTTTTTTTTGTTCTTCTTATAATAGTGCTTGTACATTAATTAATTGTCCAATAACAATAAAACAATTAATTGAATGGATAAATACAAATAAACTTCCATATTATAATATAAAATCTCATTTACCTAAATGGATGCGAGCAACAGGACGTGATCGATTTAATCTTGAAAAAATGAATATACATTCCGGTAATTTATTTTTTTATTATAATAATTTAATTCAACCAATAATAAAACCTTATCTATCTCAATGTATATTTCAATCTGTAAAATATTTCTATGAAATACTTTTACATTATTGTGAAATTTTTTGTCAACAAATTTATTTTCCATTTGATATTCATACACGTATATTATTTGAATCAATATGTCGAAGAATTATTGAAATAAAATCAACTGGTCGACATTTTCTTTCTACATCATTTGATATAGAATTAACATCATTATCAATAATAATTATTATTATTTTACTTCGATCTATTAATGATAATTTACTTGATGAATTTATTCAACATATAAATAAAACAAATGATAATAAACAATTATTTTCATATTCATTATGGTTAAAAAATTTAAATTATTTAATTTATTTTCAATCTATTCGATATTATCAATTTTATGGACGAACATCAATATTATTAGAATCAATTACAGATAATCATTCAAAATTAAGATATATGAAAAGTTTATCAAAAATATTCAATCAAACTATAGAAGTAAATAAGGAAAAAAAATTAGAAGAAATTTATAAAAAAGAAAAACAAATTCAACAAATTTTAATTGAAAATTCAAAACCAGGATCATTAATTTATGCAATAAAAACAAAAGAATTCTTTTTAAACAAATTTCAAAACTTATCATCAAGTAAGTTAAACGAGAATTAAGTTTTTGTTTTGTTTTGCTCAGATATTTACAGACGACAGAAATTGAACATCACCTAGTATAATATGTTTGTTACTAAGTTTCGTTTTTTTGTTTTTTGGATCCGAAACTCTATTTTTATTCTTCTATTTAATGTTTCTATTTAAAAATAGTAACCTGATATGCATGCCTGTATCTTTTTATGGCATGCTGAAACTTCATAGACATATGATATAAATGAGATTTTGTAATGTTCATTCATTGAAATGTGAGAAAACAAGCGTATTTTATCATTTGTTATAACCGAAAATTATATTAAAATTTCATTAATTACATCTCAAACAAACTTACATTTGTTAACTATGTCTGTCTTCATATTATCTAAAGATATTATTCGAGAAAACTTAATCTTCATTAAACATGTCGACAACATAGTTAAACATTTATAATTATATTTAGTATTATCCGTAGTGAATCTATTTTTGGTTTTATGTAGCATGACTGGAAAACTTAGGACCATATTATTATGATAATCATCCTTTCTTGCTGATGCATATTGTCATCATATATATATACGTATAGTGAAACTGATGACAAAAACGTCAATCTATATGTAACAGACATCTGTCACTCGAGCAAAAAAAAGAAGGCTTGTCTACTATTAATTTATATAATTATGAGTAAAAAAAAATAGTTAAATCATTACTGACTAATCATAGTTATTATATGTGAGTAGTGTATTAAATAAACGATTGGTATTAATAAAAGTTATTAAATGTCTTTTACATATTCATAATTGCAGTGTTCCGATGAAATTTGAATTTGATATTAAAGTATGTCATACGTTGAACTATTGATTAAGTATGACGAATTTTATTATTGACAGAAAGAATAAAACTTTCTTTGAATAAGAACTAATTTTATTCTATAAAATGAATGTTGGTTAATTTAATTTTTTATTGATAACTCTATTTATAAATATGAACATTCTTATTTAGATTCTCTGTCATCTCTGTTCGAAACAATTGTCAATAAATATTCACCATCTCATTTTTCAATAATCGATAAAAGTGAATTATATGAAACATTGTTATCATTATTAAATGGTACAACTATAAATCAAATAGAAAATTTTTATTCACTTCATCAACATTTTGATTTTGCTTCATCATCAAATTTTCATTTAAATCATCTTATAATGACATTAACAAAATTTTGTTCAATACCATATAATCAAGATTTTTATGTATTTTTATCAAAATTTTTGAAAACATTTTGTTTTCATAATCAACATATTCATCATTATTTTTATCAATCAACATTATTAAAACGTTATAATTTAAGAAATATTTCAAAACAAATTGGAATGAAACAATATGGAATTGATCAATTACCAATTATATATGATCTTAAATTTGAACAAGAACAACCATTAATAAAACAGCAAAAACAATCCGAATGAGTGTTTTTTTTCCTTTCTGTGATATAGAAAAAAAAAAAAAAGTCATTGTAAATCGTTCATTTTCAAAAGACGAAAATAACTTATAAGATGATCTAATCATCACGCATATATATTTATTGCGTATTTTCTTTTTGTAACAAAATTGGCTAATCTCCAAATATATTCATATTCTTATTATGCACTCTTAAAAGGAACGAAGGAAAAACAATTCATCGTAATATTCTCTAGACTTTTATTATTAGACCTTTGTGTACTTTAGTTTTTTGCTCTATAGCACTACGTATTAATCACAAGAAAATAACCATATATTATATTAGGTTGTTCCTACGTTCTTTTTTTCAATTTGCCAACGATGTATATAGTTGTTGATAAAGTCTATATGGCTGATGTTGTTTTTCTTCTTTTTGTTCTATTGCTTAAGAATTGTTATATATGTCGCCAAAAGACGTAAACACACACGCATTAATACAAGAGAACGAGCAAGTAACACTTCGTTTGCTTGTCGCATCTTTAGCAATCCACGAATAAAAACATTTCTATCTTGATGAATTAAGCTTCTTCTTTTCTTTTTCTTATGTAATCCATCATGAGTATATATTTTTGCGTCGATGATTTTCCGTCTTTCACAATAATGTCACTTATTTGAGTCATTATTTAAAGTTCGCTTTTCTTTCCTTGTTTTTTTACAATTCACCATGACACAGCATATGAATCTTCGCGTATTTTTTTGAATCACATCAAAATAGTATATATATATATATATATATATATATCACTGATCGGTTTTTAGTTCTTCGCTCTCGGTTCTTTTTTTCTATCGTCGTCTAATGTAAGTGCAATTTAATTTTGCAATGTATGCATACAAGTGCGATTTTTTAATTAGTTATTTTCACACATATATTAGGTATAAAATTTTTATTTTTCAGATTATATTAATAAGATTACTATACTTGGTGAATATCAACGAAACATCTTGTTAATATTCCATGACTACACCTGTTGACGGTGAAAATACACCGAAACAAACGGTAAATATTCTTAAATTAAATTTATATAATATTTCATTGTTGTTGTTGTTTTTTTTTTCTATTTATTAGACCGAATACGTGCACGACTGCACGATCTCGGGCGAATATAGCCAAGCACAAGATTGACTAGTACGCTATTTAAAAAAATATAATTATTATCGATATTATTCGTATCGATATTGTTCAAACAAATTTGATTGGTGTCTTATATCAACAAAAATTCGAGATTAGAAAAAGACAAAAAGAAATTCTATTGAAAAAAATAAAAATGCCAATGACATATGATTTTACTTATCCATCAGTAACTGAACTTCGATATAAAACTTTTCGTTTTCTTATTACTGATAGTCCAGATGATGAAAATGTTCAATCATTTGTTGAAGTATATCTTTATATGAAAATGAAATGATATGTTTTTCTTTTTTCTATATTTTTCATAGACTTGTTTAAAATATGGTGTTACAGCATTGGTACGAGTTTCAGAAAAAACTTATGATTCAAAACCAATTGAAGCAGCTGGAATTAAATTTTATGTATGTTTTATTAAATTCAATAATTAATTTCATACATTGATTTGTTTTCTTTTGTAGCATCTTGAATATCCAGATGGAAGTGTACCTGATTCATTACTTCGTAAGAAATGGTTGAATATAGTAAAAGAGAATAAAAATGGTTGTATAGCTGTACATTGTATTCATGGTCTTGGACGGTTTGTTAATTAAATGAAGATATTTTTATTTTTATTTTTTTATTATTATTATAGATCACCTGTTCTTGTTGCAATGGCTTTAAGTGAAGCAGGAATGAATTCACAAGAATCAATTGATTATGTTCGTAAACGTCGACGTGGTTCATTTAATGTACGTCAATTAGAATTTCTTCAAAGTTATCATTCAGGTCACCGCCTTGCTGATAAACATGTTGGTTGTGTCATTATGTAATAATATATTTTTTTTCTTTTCTTCATATTTTCTCATGTATATTTTGTTTTTCATTTTTTCTCCATTTGGTTTTTTTTTTCCCTCGCTTTTTGATTGATTTTATCTATTACATAGATAAAACAATTCTATTCAACAAATTGTTTGACATAAATGAAATTTATTTTTTGTTTTGTTTTATCAATTCATGAATCTTATGACAAATAGTTTGAATAATAAATAATCTAGTACAAAAAAAAAAAATATTATTTCATTGAATAAAAAACTATCAACAAAGATATAACTAAATATCTGTAATAATTATGTTATATTAACTTTGTAAAAGAGCATAGAAAATGAATATTGAAGTATAAGGATTGAAATTAGGACCTATGCCCTCTGTCAGACCATAACAAACATTATTTTGGAAAAGTCATAGAACATGACATATGTTATCGATATACGAGCAGAGATTGTATATCAATAATATCTCTTTATAGTAATAACGGCTGGCCTATCAAGAATAAGCTTTCTGGTATTTTCAATATTTCTGTATACCTTTTTAACATCTGAAGACAATTGTTTTTTTTTTTTTTTGATAGATTAATCGTTCCATTCTCTAGAAATTTACATCTTCTACTTAAACGGAATAACATATCTTATTTGTTTAGATTCTATGAAACGAATACATTCAGAATATTTTTTTTTATCAAAATTTTTGCATGCATATTTGTAAGTACTTTTATCAACTTTTCTCTTAATCATACAAGATTTTAATCAATTATTAGGCTGACATTAATTCTGTAAAAGTCTTCGAAAGAATGGGAAACTTAATTGTTGGGGCAAATGACTATTATTGTTTATCGATAAGACATAACTTTGTATATATTACCATGTTTGGCATTTCTTGTACTTTTGACCCCATAGAAGAGAGCGTTGTTTTTTTCAGAAAGCAACCTACAGGGATACTTCTTTTAGATATCGCAGAGGATCATATATACAATGTTTCAAAGAAACTGTGACAATATCTGTCTTATCAATTAACAACAATAATCATTTGCTCAAATAATTAAGTTTGCAATTCTTCTGAAGACTAAATTAGAGTACATTTTCGTGCTGATAATTGATTGAGATCTTGTATGATTAACAAGTCTGATATAATCATACACAAAGACGAGTGCAACAACCTTAATAAAAAAAAAAAAGAATTTAAAAAGTGACATATGCTGAACTTATTCGTTTCATTTCGTCTAAACAAATAAACTATACTGTTCTGTTTAAGAGAAAAATGCAAATTTGAAAAGAATAAAACGAGCAGTCTATCAAAAACAAAAAAATTGTCGCTACTGAGAAATATCCGAAATACGAAGTGAATCCTTCTTCATAGACAGCACATTATATGAACTATTTATTTCATTTCTAGAAAATGAAGTAAAATAATAGTGAAAAAAAAAAACGCTATCCCTATGATGACAACAGTAATCACATCGTGTTTATATTTGAAACCTACAGAAATTTCGCATATAGTTTTTATGATTGTTTCAACCAAGTAAAATATTGGTACGATTAAAAGACATTAGTACATGAATGGTTTCATGTAATGATATATGACCAGACGTCTGTGTTAAGTGTCGTTGAAAAAATGTCGTTTACAAGACTAATATTAATGACGCTTTTTTTTTTCCTGGAAGATTTCATTTATTATTATTAATGTTACTACTAACTTTGATTTACATTTCATGAAAAAAAAAAAACATGTCATAGAAAGAATTAAGTGGATATGAAAGAAAAGAAGTTTTTTTTTCAAGTCTGACTAAGATTCTCATAGATCAGAGTATAAAAATATTTATAAGTACTTTCAAATATATGATTTAATGGAAAACTTTTTTTTCTTTCTCTTTTACTTTTGTAAATATGTACTCACAAGATAGATGTTGTTGGTAGACATCTTATGACTAAGATTGATTATTTGTTATTACTATAAATTAATGATAATAATGCTTCTATAATAAATCATAATTTCTATATCATTTTTTTTTTTGAATAATTGCTACGAGTTTGTATAAAATGAATTAAATCATAAGAATCTCAATGAGAAATACATTATTAAATTTTATTTTGTTGTATTTTTATATAAAAGAAATAATACCAGTTAGTTATATTTCATGTGAAAAAGAAATTAGTAAAGGAATCGATTAGAAGATCAACAAATTGTTTTTTTTCTCCCGAGTATTTGACCATTCATGAAAAGCAGATCTTTAGTGTATTTTTAATTTTATTTCTTAAGTATTTATTATACTAAAATTTTCATTCGTAAGAAAAAAAATACATAAATTATAATTTATTTTGAACAAGATTATTTATTTTTTGTTTATAAATTTCTGAGATAAAATTAAAAATTTAATAAATACAAAATTTTTGATTCTTTTTCAGATTTTAATAATCGAAGGAAAAGTCTATGCAAAAAGAAATCGATATTTATTTCTTCACAAGTTAAAGAAAAACCTTTTTATCCTAAGATTTGATAGTGTATGAAAGTACTCTTTAGATTCATCGTCGACAAACTTGATAGTCCTCGAAAGATTTTATTTGACAATGAATACTAGACTAAGACATAAACAAAATACACTGTTCGATAAAGAAAGACAAGGACACAATTTTAGCTTCATTCTACAAATCTGTTTCAATCCAGTACTTGTTTTTTAATTTATAATTTTCACTAAATTGATATTCCAACAACCGAAATATAATAGAAAAAGAACTTTTTCGATTAATAATATAATTAAAACTCAACTCTGAAGAAATGATATAATAATATTTGATTCAAAATTTATAATAGACAATATCGCAAAGATATTTTCATCATATCTTTATATTGAAATTTTCTTAAAATAAATCGAAAATAAAATTTTAACTATATTAATCACCAGATATTATATTTTCAAACAGAAAAATAAAATGTTAGACTGAATCCGATATTTTAATATCAAGAAATGAGTCTCGACACTTCTCCAAGGACTTGTATTTAGCTGAATATATCTCAAATAGTTACATGATTCATATTACTTCATAATAACAATTATTACTTATATTGTAACAAACTACTAATAAAGCTATTTAAACATCCATGATGATATAACAGATTATGATTACATCGCTTCTTCGAAGTAACTCTAGTTATACAGATAAATATATAGTTATGTAGAAAATACTTATTTGTTTTATCAGGTGTTTATCTTCTGTCATTCTGATGTTCGATCTATGCATCGTGTCAGTATGTACAGCTGTTTGTATAAAATGCTTACATAAAAAAGTAGGAATTTTGCTTTCTTTGTATGAGGTTTTATGGTACATTAAACAATCCTAATCGACATATTTTTTTTGTTGATAATTATTCGACAGCTAGAAAAAATAATGATTTTTATAAAATTATGGTCAGTTGTATTTTAGATCGATATCAATTCAATTTATAATAATCTTTCTTTTTTGAAAAAGAAAAACAATTATATATATATACATTCATATTAAGTTCTTAAAATAAAACGATAAAAAAATAAGCTAAGATCATTGTGAAATATGACATAAACATTCTCATGAAAAGTCTCTATTCATAATATCAATAAACTAGAATAAATAAACTTTGTCGAATATCGAAAGAGTTATGGTTGATAATACACAATCTCAATGTCAAAGAACAAATAAAAGAATTATCGATTTCATGTATTTCTTGTAATAATAAGATAAAAGTTAAGTAAATAAATGTGAAAGAAAAATATTGAAAATCTGAAGAAATGTAATATTCTTTAATTATCTTGTTTCGACTTGTGTTAAAAAAAATTTTCAAAAATTAAAATTCATAATCTGATAATTACTTACTATATACTAACTAATTAAGCTCTTCTCACAATAGAAAATTTCGTTTTGGATTAATACATCAAAATATATCTTATTTTCAAGGTTTTATATTGAAAAACTTCAAAAAGACTGAGGTCAGCATTATTTTTAAGCTTTTAAAACTTAAAGAGTTTTTCCGAAATTTTTGTTTTTTTGAAAAGTTCTTTATATTAAAAATTATGAAAATAAATGAAAGACAAAAAAGAAAAAAAGCCTCAGAGTCTTCTATTACCCAGAGGAATCTAATACTAATAAACAATTTATCAAATGATAATGTGCCTAATAATAGATAGACTAACTAACTGCTAAGATCAACGTTTATCGAAAATATTCAATTCAATATTAAAAATTGAAATTCGAAAATCAAAGAATTAAAATGATTTTTCAATGGAAAAATTTTAATAAATTATCGATTATCTATAAAAACAAAAATGATACTAAATGATCATATGTAGATCTCTCTATCTAGATCAGTTTATCAAATCAATAGATTAACTATTTATTTTGAAATTTTCCTATCAACTTACATCGTAATTTTATTCTTCTTCATAAATTATTGATTGCTTTCATTTTTTGTTTTTCTTATCTATATTTGTCATGATTTTTCTGTTCTACATTGTCATTTTTAATGTTATATATTCTATCATAACAAGTTGTTAATAAAAAGGAAGTACATGTAGATTTTGTTAGCTTTGTTCATTATCAATCGGAAATAAAAGTTAATAAAATAATGACAATCTATGTATTTTGTAGTTAGTATGAATAGTTGAAAGATTTGATTTTGAATATTTCGTTTTTTTTTTCCTTTCTTTCTATATATGCTTGTAAAGGTTAGTATGACTTTTTATATGAAGTATATTACAGTTAAAATACATCAAGCAGATTAAAAAGAACAACTGTTGTCACTATATACTAATCTATAATGTAACGTATGGACAGACGAATGATGGGTAGAGATGTTAGCTTATTCTCTCATCAATTCGTAGCAGAACTCTTTTCTTGCTTTCATATGGCCTTATTCTCATAAATAATAAGATACACATCAGACAAGCAAAGATATCTTTCTCGTTTTTCTTGTATTTATCCAAAGCAAGACAAAGTAATAAAGAAAAAAAAAATGGTCGTATGAATACAACGGTATCCTTCTCTATCGTCGTCTATGTATTCTATTTCTAAAGAAACAATTCTTTACGGCAAATATTGTTCTACCAAAATGATCTTTCTATGCATTTAGTCTAGTTTTAACCATCTGTCTAGTTTACTATTAATATATAATATTAAAAAAACAATCTTATTCTAATAAAAATGTTCAGTAATACAATATTATTAGAATTGATTAATAATGTTATGTTTTATTTTTCGAAAAAAAAAAAAAAACAAAAACTCTAATTTTTGTTGTTTTCTAATAATGATATTGTTATATAATAGAAGAGTAAGCAAACATCATATGTTTCTATGATTGTCTTTTTTTTTTCTGAATGTCGCTGATAATCTAAACCTTTAAGTAATATCAACAGTAAACGTTTAAGACCTTAACTACTATTATCTCTCATTATATTCTATATCAGCTATTTATCCTTGAAACTTTTTCTCGTCATTGAGTTGACGGCATATATCCACGGTTGTATTAGACTAATGAAAATATAATGCATCAAATATAAAAAACAAAAAACAAAAAAGTAAGAAATTTATGTTTTATTTAATTGTAGATTCGCATGATCATGATAATAATGATGATATAAATAATTATTTATTAATAAATAGGTAATATATAAATAAAATGGCTGATGAACAAATAATGGGTGCTGAAGCTGATGATATTCAATTTATACGCACGGTAATAAAATTTTTATATTGATTAATATAATTTATATAAATAAATGTAATTTTTAGGAAGATCATATATGTTTAAGTTGTGTACCTGTATCAACTATTAAACGTATGGCATTATCAGGTGATGCATTTGGAAATCGAATGTGTTATCTTGAAGATATATCAAATGAGGTAGAATATATTTATTATCCTAGAAACAAAAAACAAAAAGCAAGAAAAGAAATTTGTCATAATTTTTATATTCTATTAGGTTTGTTGTCCTGATGTAGCATCATGTGTATTTGCACTTGAACAAGCTGTATCAGTACGAGCTTTACAAGAAATGGTTAACACAACTTCAACTGAACAAGTATATAAATTTGAAAATAAAAATATTGAAAATTTTTTTGTTTTTTTCTTCTCAGTCATCAGCAAATCAAGGCGGGCAAACATTTCGAACATTATTATATGGTCATGCAGTTCTTCTTCGACATTATCGTAGTCAAATGGTATAATTTTTAAATTTAAGCTTTCTTTTTCTCAAACATCGATCTTGAATTATGTGTATTCAATTTGTCATGATATGTCAGAGTTATAATAGAAAAATTATGCTGAAATTTTTACTTCTATGTCATGACCTTTTCCGGAGATATTCAAAGGTCAAGAAGTTCCTATTTGACTAGCCAAAATTCTCTATGAACTCTCATTCTATAGACTTAATACTTTTATATTTGAAAGATAATGTACTTTCACACGCTTTTTTAAAACAAAAGAAAAAACAATTGACTACAATAAAGATTCTTTTATACATATGTATACATATATATATATATTAACATTGTTTTTAGTACTTGAGTTGCTTATCAACTAGTACATCCAATGACAAACTTGCTTTTGATGTCGGCTTAAAAGAAGATGCACAAGGTAAATAGACAAATGTTTAATAGAATAAATCGTTTATCTTTTTTTTTTGTACCTCTTAGGCGAATCTTGTTGGTGGACCATTCATCCAGTATCAAAACAACGAAGTGAAGGCGAAAAAGTGCGCTTTAATGATGACGTTATATTAGTTTCAGTTTTTTCCGAACGTTATCTTGTAAGAATTTTTGTTTTTTTTCTAAAAAAAATTAACAATTAAATAATTTTTCAATTTCTTTATTTTCTTTTAGCATGCCTATATGTCAACAAATGAACGTGGTCGAGTTAATGCATCATTTCGTCAACAAATGTGGAGTCTTGTACCAGTATCTAGTGGTGTAGCACGTGTCAAAAATCCAGGTTTTCAGAGACATATTATTAAGTATATTAACATAAATAAATAAATATCTTTATTGATAAATTAGGATTTGTTCTTGGTGGTGATGTTCTAAGATTAATGCATGGTAATATGGATCATTGTATTACAACACCACCACCATCAGAATCACAAGCGGCTGATGATTCTGGAAGGTAATAGATAATTTATTTCATTAGAAAACGCATTACAGGTAAAAGCATGAAATTTTGACGTACAATGTCCGGCTCAAATCGGGTTACGAAAACAATAGTTGACCTTGATTCGGGTCGATTAGGTGTTTATCTAGGATTTTCTCGAAAACTATATTACGTACTAGCATAGGAGATTTAGAATGTGGATATTGTCGCTTGTGTTTATGCTCTATCTCCTGCGCTAGTACTTAATCGAGTCTCTTGTAACATCCTCAGTAGACATAATATAATCTGGTTGGATTACAAGAAAATTTCTATTTCGGGCTGAATCTGCAGTCTGAACATTGTGCAGATGGAAAAAGCATTTGGAATGTTTTTCTCATCTAAAAGATCTATAATAGAGCATGGGAAGCTTAGTAGAATAAGAGTCTTTGTATCGCAAGATCTTTCCTTCTACTTCACTAGTTTTTTTCTATTGACATCGAACAATTATGCAAAGAGACTACATTGCCTATTCAACTCTGATATCTACAGATCGCTTATTGTATACAAAAACAAAACAGAATGGTAAACAAGAAAAAAGAAGAGGCCAAGGGCATATACTTTGATTTCAATTACGAAATTGTAAAAAACAAAACACTTGAGAAAAATCATTGATGCTAGTCTAATTCTCAAGTGACAAAAAATTGACCTATGCAGGACAATGGTGGCATAATTAGAAAAAAAAATTGTAGGAGGACTTCAACCCTCTAAAAATGTGTGTAAATCGTGGTGGAGATTCTCTCATAACACAACTACAAGGGAGAAGATAAACTCCTTTAATCTCAGTCTATTTACATCACTATTATTTACGGGACTTTGTCTTGTCTCCCTTTTATTCAATATGAAGGAAATCTTCTTGTGAGCTAGCAACAATTAATGCAAATGGGTTGTTAATAGAGCTTTTGAACCTAACTTATTGACTTATATGTCACCATTGGGGTTTTCAATTACCAACATCTTAAATATATCTTAATTGCAGAATATAGTTGATATATAAACTAATAATACTCTAAACGAACAACTTGAATTCTCAAGAGACAATATGATTCAATAAAAAAATATTGCTAAAAAAGTTTCTTTATATATTCTCTTATCTATTTTAGTTTATTTATCAAAAGTGGTGCTGCTTGTCAACAAGCTCGATCATTATGGCGTATTGAATGTTTTAAAATCAAGTAGAATATAGGAAAATAATTAAAAACAAAATCATTTTCAAATTTATTTTCTTTCTTAGATGGTACAGTGGTTTCGTTGGTTGGAGTTCATTAGTTCGCCTTCGACATATTACATCTGGTCTTTATTTAGCTGTTATCACTGATGAAAATGGTAAAAGATTTTTTTTTGTAAAGATTTTTTTTGTAGTTTTTAAATAATAAATTTCAGGTCCAAAAGTCACTCGTATACCTAAGAAGAATGCGAGTCCTATGGCAATAACATTTGAAATGAAAATGTCAAAAGTAAATATAAATGAAAAGAAAAAAAGAGAGTTTTTTTTTTTTGTTTGTTTTAATCAGGAAAAACAAGTCGAAGAAAATCAAGAAGAAGAAGATAATTTAGGTTTACCAACAATAAAATATGGTGAAACAATTGTTTTCATACGTCATGTTGATTCTGATCTATGGATTAGTTATGAAACACTTGAATTAACTATAAAAGGAATTGGAAAAGTTGAAGAAAAACGAGTAATGAAATAAAAACAAAAATTATGTTTTGTTTTTATTTTTTTAATTTAATTTAGATTATCCCAGCTATTGAAGGTCATATGGATNTTTCTATTTTAGATCGAACAAGGTTGGACATATGGTGAACAAATTAATGATAAATTTCGTCAACATCCGAATTTAAAACCATACAAACTTCTTGATCGAATGGTTAATCATAATTGCTTCTTTTTTTTTTTTATTGACTTTTATATTATGTTTCAAATATTTTTATTTAGGATATTGTTAAACTTGAAGATCCTATTCGTGAAGCATTAAAATCTATTGAAAAGTTACAATTTCATTTAGAAAAAACTGATACAGGTATAACACGTATAGCTACAAAACCATTACAACGAAAAAAACAAAAAGTAAAATTTGAATTTAATTTATAAACGAGTAAAATCAAGAAATTCTTTCTTTTTATCAAGGATAAAAGTGCTCCAGATTATACACCGAAAGCATTGGATTATAATAGTGTAACAATGAATCGAGATATGCAGGTAATAAAAATAAAAGTCGGATTAGGGAATATTATTCTTCTTCGGTTCTGTAGAATTTATGTATTATGATATATCGAATTTTATATATGCATTCGATAGGATTGATTTTAATCGATTTTTTAATAAGGTTGAATTAATATGTTATTCATTTGAAGTCTTACACAGCTTTCTTTTCTATTCAAAACAACATAATTGATATTTTGTCTAATACCCAGGGGCGGCGCGACCGGGGGAGGGGGATAGGGGGATCACCCCCTCCTGCTCGAGAAAATGTTGGCTGGTACTTTCTCCGATTTTGGAGAAATATATTACAAAATTCTGATTCGGAGAAAATTTCAGTTTAGAGAACACTTTTTTACTTTCTCCGATTTTAGGGCTGACCCTCCACCTGCTCCAACCTCTTCGCGCCGCCCCTGCTAATACCAGTATGAACAGATCAGATAAGATTGGTTCCGATTCCATCTCTGTTTAGATTTTGTTCTGTTGAAATAAATTGAAAACTACATATTTTTGAATGTTATTTTTTTTCAGGAATTGTCTGAAGCTTTAGCTCGAAATGCTCATGAAATTTGGGCAAAACAATTAAAAGATCGTCTTGCTGCAATTGGTAATTATCTAATTATTTTCATTAAAATTTATTTATGATATTGTTTAGGTGGTGGTCTTCATTCTCGACTTGTTCCATTTGAATTATTAACTGATAAAGAAAAACAAAAAGATTTAAAATTTTATCAAGATCTTGTTAAATATCTTCATACATTTGGTTATCGTGTTGTCAAGTAAAATAAAAAATAAAATTAAAATTAATATATTTATGAATTTATTTAGAACTATTCATGAAATAAATGCAACAATATCAAATTTAACTCCACGTGTTGCTTCAATGTCAACATTAATAAATGATAAACGTTTTGCATATAGTTTATTAGAAAAATTACTTGAATATGTTGAACGTGCATCAATAACAATGCAAAATTATAAAGAAAGTTCAAAATTTTCCTTNATCAATCAACATCAAGAAAAAGTCCATTATCAATAATGAATGAAAATAAATCAAATATAAAATCATCAACAAATAAAATCAATAATTTTTTTCAATCACTCTTAAAAGAACAACAACAACAACCTACAAAACGTATGGTTAAATTAAATACAGATACAAATGCAATAAATATAAATCAACAAAATCAATTACAATCTGCTTTAAAACCTCCAATAAAACAATCAAATAATACTATGACAGAAAAATCTACAAATGAAAATGATACAGAATTTAATAATCAACAAACAAATGATTATGAAGATGATGATATACGTATAATTAATGAACATGTTCATGATTATTATTATGCAGTTAGAATTTTACCTGGTCAAAATCCACGTTCAGTATTTATTGGTTGGATAACATCAAGATTTAAATCAGTAAATCGACACTATGATACAACAGTAAATAAATTAACTAAACTTATTCGACATTGTACAATAACACAAACTGAAGATGATGGTTCAATTGTTGAAAGTATTACACGACAAGATGCTTATATGTTTTGTGCAGCTGATTTATTAGATAATATAATTGATAAAGAAAAAGTTACGAGACATGTTGTTAATGGTTTATTAATTGGATGTTTATGTGATGTATCAACTGGACAATTTACATTTTATGTTAATGGAAAAGAATCAACACAAAAATTTCAAGTATATTATTATTTTAAATTTTTATCAAATATATATGAATTAATTGTTGCAGAAATTATATTACAATTGTTTAAGAGATCATTATGAAAAATTTAATTCAGAATTTTTTTTTATTTTAAATTCTATCGAAATCTATTTCTATTGATAATATACGTTCGTAATTTACAAAATAGTTATAACTTTTTCTTCCTAGGCTAAGAAATAGGGGTTGTTTTCGACTGTCACTACACAAATCTAGCCATCGAATTATTGTATCTAAGTTCCTATCCCTGACAAGTCCCTATCAGGAAGTTAAGAATAGAAAAGAGAAGGAAGCGGAATCTTTTTTTTATGCCAGTTAGATGGAAGACAATTAGTACTCCTTATTTTCAACTCATATTTTGCATTGTATAAAACTGTTATGATTCAGAAAAAAATTACCGACGTGCATTTAAAGAAACACACTAGCATTTGTTTTTATCCAATTTCAACTCTCGAAAGGAGAATTTTCGATCAACTTTAATGAAAAACAAAATAATGGTGTAGCAGTAATGTTCATAGAAAAAGGAATTATGCTGTAGATTTGCTCATTTTGCTGAAAAATAACTCTTAGACATCTAAGCTTTCGGTAGCTTTTAGTTTGTCTATACATTTAGTAATACAAAATATTATTTCTTCAAGCACGTTTTCTAAGACTGCTTTACTACGAAAATAAAATGTTAACTTTTCTATGAAAATTTCGATGCAATGCCTAAATCTATTAATCTCATAGAACGAGAAACAGATATTTGGGCCTATTCAAGCCTCCTGACTTCGACACTTTTAGGCCCTAATGAACTTTTTATATTCTGAAAAGAGTTCGCACTTCTAGATTATTTCTGCCGAGATATGTAGGCAGTTTCATTGATTAGCCATGTAATTTCGTAAAATAAAAATGATATATCTGTGGATTCTGAAAAAGTCAGTTCTACAGATCTGCGTTCTCATTTACCAATACTGTAAGTTCAAACAGTATTTATTAAAATTAAATTGTTCCTTTGAATAGAAGACTTCAGTCTACAAAATATTTCTATTCAAAGCTTTTCCTGAACATGCTTAGATTTTTTCAAAAAATTGTCTTTATTTATTGTTAGCAATGTGAGTGAATATGAATATAGAAACGAAAAATTCTTTTCTAACTGAATATGATGTTCGAACGTCAATGGTAAACTGATGCAAATCCTTTTCTGTGGAACTCGAGATAATAGTACAGAAACCGGCCTCAGTGAGATTAGTTCATTCTGAAGACTTTATTTTCCTTGGTTACTTCTGATACGAGTATAAGGAACAATGTTCAAATATTACCATAGAAGCGTCCAAGTAACTTGAAAGTCTTTGAAAAAAATTGATCTTATTAACACTGTTCTCTGTGCAAAGTTTCATGTCGAAATACGAAAATCAATTTTCCAAATGATCTTGAAGAGACGCAACTGTGTTATGATAACAGAAATGCTATAAAAAATATTTTATTTCGATAGAAATGAACTAGAGATAGGAACTTTCTTTTTTTTTGGTTATTGAGAGCTCATTATGACCAATATAATGGCAAATAGCAACCTGGAGATCTTCGTTTGATCATTTTTTCATTTTCTTTGCAGATCGCTCGTAATAAACTTTCAGTTTTTAGATTTTGCAAACAAAAGATAAGTTCTATTTATGTATTTTCCTTTAGCTTTAATTAAAACACAATTTGAAAATATTGAATAATCGAAAGATAAATTCAAATGTTCTACAGATCATAATGAAAGTGTTTTCTTTTTTAAACTCTTTTCGATTTTTGTTAATGTACAATGTAATATTTGATTATTATTCAGGTTGAACCAAATACTAAACTTTATCCAGCTGTATTTGTTGAACCAACAGTTAAAGAAGTATTACAATTTGAATTAGGACGTATCAAAGTAAGAATAAATAAATAAATAAAAATAAATCTAAAATAATTCAATTCTTTTATAGAATTGTTTACCATTAACTGCTGCTCTATTTCCAAGTTTAATTCGTGAAGAACGTTTTATTCCTCAATTACCATCTCGTTTACATTTACAATCTCTTGTTCATTGTCATTGGTCACGTGTACCAAATACAAATATTCGTTGTCAACAATTAAAATTATCTGATATTCGTGGATGGAGTGTATTTGTTGAAGATCCTGGTATATATATATTTATTAATAATATTCTATTAATAATTGTCTTATTTTGTAATAGTTCAAATGCAAGCAGTTTATATTCCTGAAGAAGATCAATGTACAGATATTTTAAGTTTAGTTGAAAGTGAAGATATTTTAAAGTATTTTTTAAATTAAATTTTTTCAGAAAAAAAAAAATTTCTATTAAATTAATATTTTTATTATTTAGTTTTTGTTCGAATACATTAAGATTATATAATGCATTATGTGCTCAAGGTAATAATCGTGTATCACATGAAATATGTAAATTTGTTGATGAAAAACAATTGATGTATTGTGTAAAAAATGCTTGTAAGTTAAATTATTATTTATTTTGAATTGGTTAATTTTTTTTTTTTGTTTGGTTTGTTATTTAGATTTATGTGGACCTATTCGAATTGGTGTTTATGATTTACTTATTGCTTTACATTTTGAAACACATATTAAAGCGAGGTAATTGAATTTGATATTTAGGAGTTTTTTTTCGTAAAGAATGTTTTTTTGTTATAGAAGTTTAACTTCAACAGAATTTATTATTCCATTATCGGATGCACTTCAAAAAAGTGTTTTATTACATCCAAAAATTTCAATTGAACAACAACAAATATTGTCAACATCAACATATATACCAGCTATGGAACAGTTTTTAGCTGTACGACCTAAATTAATTAAAGATGAAGAGTATGTCAATGATAACTAACCATTCCTTTGACAGTTGATGCTTTTTATCTAACGAGGAAATTACTCGAGCTATAACCCTTCATTTGAGATCATATTGAACCCACAAGATGATCTCAGTAGGACTGGAAAAAGTTTAAAAGAGTTCGTTCCCACAGGCTTTTGCAGCCGAGTTATGACAATTGCACTGAATTTTTGGTTCGATTTAGATCTAAAGGTTTATAGAATATCCTGAACGTTTCAGAATATTCTAAAGTCATTCGACCTATATATAGGCAAAATTTGAGCTTGAAATTCAGTTCAACGACCATAACTTGGCGGCAAAGTCTAGTCTTACCAAGGTCTCTTTTTTAGCCCGATATGAGCTCAAACGGAAAGTTACAGTTCGGGCAGTTCTTAAGCGTTTGGGTCATGTGAAGTGATTCACTTAACTTTTCGCGAAACGATTTTCGTTCATAAGAATCGATGTATCTGAGAGTGTATTACAACTTTGTATTAGCAGCGGACATTAGTGATCCGAGTGACAAAAAATATCTAAATCTAATGAAATTTTGAATTTCACATAGAACTTCCGATTGTTTTCGATTCTTACTAAAAAAAAAAAAAGAAGAAAAATTTTTTTCAATGTCAAATAAATGTTCGATCACTCATAAACAGGTTATTAGTTGAAATGTACAACATGAACAAGGAAATTTGCGCTTATTATTTTTAAGATTGCTTAAGAGTCTTTTCTTTGAATCGCAATTCGTAACAATCTGTATTACTAATCCAGATTGATTTAAAATAATAATAAAAAGCTTTAGAAATAGGTTAGACTGATTTGAGAAATTTCAAACCGAATCAGTTATGCGTTTGTAGAAACTTGGAAGCAGTAGTTCGATGATTGTATTCTGCGGTCGACTCTACTCACGGTTATGATCGCTTTTCACCGGATACGGGAAAACTCGAACATCGTATTTCTACTTTCATCTTCGAACCATTTTTCCAAAATTTTCTAGCGGAATCGGCGGCATATCCTTCAGTTTGGATTTCATCATTTAAAAGTATACCAAACTGTCTAAATAAATGAATTTCTCTCAAAGTAACTGCCGACATTGTTCGATATTTCATTAATAGAAAACATGCTAATTGTAATGTATTATTTATTTATGAGTGAAATTAGTCGCTTTTTTTCCTGGTTCCGCCGCGACTAGAACCATCTTGCCCATACAAAATATTATATTTCTAAATAATATTAACTGTCTTATAATATTGTTTATTGTTTAGTTTTAAAGTTGATCGTGAATGAAAATTACTTGTTCCACCACTCTTCAATGTTTCAAGTCTCAAGGAATATATCATGACTTCTTTAACAGATGCTATTGAAAAAAGTTCTCGTCATTTTCGTGATCCAACTGGTGGAACATACGCAAATTGGCTTGTGTAAATACTGAAATTAATATTTTATTTTATTTTAAAATCGTATGTTTTTTAGACCATTACTTCAATTAGTTGATGCTTTTCTTGTTATGGGAACACTTGGTATAAAAATAATAAATATTTTCGTAATTCAAATATTATTCTATAATATATTTTTGTTATTTTTGTAGAAATAAATGATATTCAACAATTATTACGTTTAATCGATCCAATATAATTTGCATTAGAAAATGAAGAAAATTTTACTGAAGGTTTACTTGAAATGACATTAGATGAACCAGTTAAACTTCAATTATGTCATATTTTACAACATTTATGCGATTATCAATTACAATATCGTATTGAAAGTATTATTGCATTTTCCGAAGAATTTTTTGGAAGATTACAAGCAGTCTGTTTAATAAATATTTTATTTTATGATAGAAAAACAAAGGATACATTCATTCTAGGATCAAAAACGACGATATCAAGTTTTAAAAGAATCAAGTTTACCACCAGCATTAATGGCAAAAAAAACTCGAGAATTTCGTTGTCCACCAAAAGATCAAGTAGATAAAAGAAATTTCTTTGAAAAAATTAATTCTTTTTTTCTTTTCAGATGCAAGCATTACTTAATTTTAAAAATGATTTAGGTGACGCAATTGTTTTTAATGAAGATATGGAAGAAGAAATAAAAGATATGCTAAAAAGTTTCCATTCAAATTTACTTGTTTTACAACAAGTTGTTGAGGTTTGAAAAATGTTTATTTATTGATATTTTTATGAAACATAATTTAAAAAGAGTATTGAAGTATGGAGGATAAAAATTTGAATTTCTCATAGAACGTGACAGATCAAAGACCGAAACCAAATCGAACCAACCTCTTTTTAATTCCATAGGATTTGTGCTGACAGCTTTTGATTGAATTTTATTTTCATTGTAAATATAGACAAGTCCTGTGATTTATCAACAATTGAATGTAAATCAGATTGATCATAATGAACAAATTTCATTATTTTCACGTTTACTTGAAATGCTTATACGACATGCAATAAAACAGAAGCAAGAAGAAAATATTATTGTTGAGAAACAATTAACATGTAAATCAGGAAGTAAGTTGTAAATGATGAACCTATGAAAAAACAAGTAATTTATTGTATTGTTTTTTTTTAAAGAAACTCCTTGTGAAGTAATTAAAGAAACAGTTATTAAATGGGGCCTAATAACACATATTAATGATCCAAATTTAATTCGAGAAATGTTTAAATTAATTTATAATCAATATGATGGAATTCAGCGGGTAAAGACATTTTTTCTTTTTAGAAAATCTCTATTTTTATCCTACTGGAAATATTATACAGAAAGAAAAATTTTCGTACTGTTGGTGTAATCTTAGATTCTGCAGATCAATAGAAATTATAAAAAGCTTGGTAGGTGCATGAGTACATATGAAAGTAGAGAGAAGGCTTGCATTTATTTATGCATCAAGTTTAGCTGGATCCAACAAGACAGTGTTTTAATCAGATTTTTTACTCTGAACGGATGATTTAAAAGTTTGGAAAAGCGAAAACATATTTTTAAGTGCACAGACTCATAGAATAATATATGGTACAATATCCGCGAAGTTCGGAAGAGTCAACATGATCTTCGGAGCAACGTTGTCTCTATGCTGGAGAAAACACTGCACCTAGATGCAAGTATCCAAGTTGGATTCTATCGGATGCTGATGATTTCAGTTGTATTCAGACATTTATTCACAGTTAATCAGCCGTAAGTTCGAGAAAACTTTTCAATATAAATTAGAACAAACATGAAATTCTTATTCTAACCGTCATCTTTTCATTCTTTATTAGCAACGATAAATAAACAGTAAGTTATATCAATGCATTAGAATCATGATCATATGTCTCATGAAATCTCATAATGTCTTCCGAAGCCCTGATAAGTCCCATAGAGTATTTCAAATCGTTAGTTCTTATTTGATGATCTAGTTTAATAGATGAAAAAAAAGATCGATTTAAGGACTCTTGTGAATTTATTAAAGTCCACAAGTTCTTGAACTACTTGCTTTATAGAGAGGGAGAGAGAAATAGCTAGCGGTTGAATTAGAACACTAACTTCTCTCTTGTTCTAGCAAGTGTAATGGAGAATGCTGCTATTCTATTAGAGCCATGTATTGTTGATAAGACGAAGCACGTAGCGAGGGCTCTACCTGCCCCTGCCTATCGCCGTCAAACAAAAACAAGAGGAGGGCTAGTCTTCTGATTTCGCCACTATTCTATTGAATATCAGGTCGAGGAATACGCAGTCTGTATACGATTAATTTACGATGCTTTCCCTCGTATATTACACTTATCTAAACTAGTGCACATAAAATCTCTCTACCAACTAAAATAAAATAAATAGTTTATACTTATTATGCATTGAATTGATGCGATAAAATGATTTAAAATAAAGTACTGTTCTGTTACCTTCCTCAATTTGTTTAACTATGCACATCCACTTTCGTAACAATTTAACAAAATTAAACATACATCGACCGTATATCATGGCACACGGTGATATACGATAGTCATATATTTTCTTATACGGAGAAGAGAAGTTTATCCTTTTACCTCTCCGTATATGTTCATTTTATCTTTGTAAAGGGTCGTTTATGACTGTGTCTGTTCGACCTAGATTTATAATAGAACTCTCAAATTGATATTTCCTATTACTACATAACATTGTTTTTTGTTATTCCTAATATATTTCTCGATGTCTTGAACGAACTTAAGTAATAAATGAAAAATCAGTTCCTGATATAACATCATTATTACGTAAATTAAGTATAATTCGTGCACTTTTAACTGTTCAAATGGATTCAGATGAAGAAGCAATAATGATATCATGTTTAAAGTAAATATTTATTTTATAAACAATAAGAAAAAATATCTTTTAATTAATCTAGTGATATAATGGATAATCGAGTATTTTATCAACATCCAGATTTAATGCGTTCACTTTGTGTACATGAAACAGTCATGGCTATAATGGTTAATCGTTTAAATAAAAGTAAACAAGAACAAACATCAATGTCATCAATAAATGATATCGATGGTATTATACAAACAAATGAAAGTGGAGAAAATCAAGAAAATTAATTTTTGTTTTCGTTTGGTTTTCTCAGAAAGATAAAGTTGAACTTGTAACAACATGTTGTAAATTTTTATCATATTTTTGTCGTACATCACGTCATAATCAACGAGCTATGTTTGAACATTTGAGTTATTTATTAGAAAATAGTCCAATGTTACTTTGTATGAAAAATAAAAAATTTGGAAAAATTAAACTTTCGTTTTTTTTAAATTTTAGCACGTCCATCGCTTCGTGGTTCAGCAACATTAGATGTAGCTAGTGCTAGTGTAATGGATAATAATGAATTAGCATTAGCTTTACGTGAATCACATTTAGAAAAAAATAGCTTCTTATTTATCAGGTTGTGGTACAACAAGAAATGAAGAATTATTCCTTCAAGGTTATCATGATATTGGTTGGGATCCAGTTGATGGTGAACGGTTTGTTGATGTTTAAATGAATTTTATTGATTTAATTAATCATCTTTTTTTTTGTTGGTTTTTATTAGATTTCTTGATTTTCTTAAATTTTGTGTTTGGGTTAATGGTAAATTAAAATAATTTATGAATATTTTAAAATTAAAATCGATAATTTTATTTTAGGTCATACGGTAGAAGAAAATGCTGATTTAGTTGCACGTTTACTTATTCGTCGTTCAGATTGTTTAGGTCCAGCATTGAGAAGTGAAGGTGGAGGTTTACTTAAAGCAATACGAGAAGGTATTGCACAATTACTCTATATTGCGCGACGACAAAATCCTGATGATCCTGTTATACAAGCTGCTTATCAAGAAATAATTGATGATGAAAGCATGCATAATTTAAATGAAGAATAGTAAGTTATTTTTATTAGAAAATGAAGAATTGTTTGAATATATATGATCATTTATATAATTCATTAACGAGGAAACTATCCAGAACTATAACGCGCTGTTTCAGATCATACTATATCTACAAAGATGTCTTGGTAAGACTATTGAAATTCTATTCTTAGTATCTTAGGCTTTTTAGTCTTACCGAGATCTCCTGATAGATCTAATATGATCTAAATTAACTTTAATAATTTATAGAATAATTCTCGGAGAAGCTTGTGATTATAGATAGATAACGATTGAGTTGATGCCGTTATTCATTTAGCAGCATTGACTGTCGTTTTAAATCATTGTGGTAGAAAGAAACATTTTTGGGGTAGTTGTAAAATACGTCGTAAGGAGGAAACACTCGAAAGATGGAAAAAGTATGGATTGTATTCATACAGAGAGTATTATGATAGAACTTCTTCTGGACAAGTAAGCATGCCTTTATGAATAGCTTTAGTGGTAGAGATGGGTCGTCTTCTGAGGAGAACCATCATGACGGAAAACTAATTGTTGATTTCAATAAATTGTTCAACCAGTGTTCCTCTAGATATGTAAATCACTTCAGATATCAATCAATCGAATAATTTTGATTATAATTATCTTTTATATTTCACATGAGTAACAATCGTTAGATACCAATGAATGTTACCTAGAGCATAAATGTCTCTAGTCCCGGTCGGAGCGAGGAAGAGCTTGCCACCTAATTTCTACTTCAAAATTCCTACTACTTTTTTTATCTTTTATCATTATGTAATTGTAATGACTAATTATTTAATATCTCTTTACTATCGTTCATTTAAATATATCTATTTTGTTGACATGAACTATAAAAATTTGATCAGCTTGTTGTTTTTTTTTTTTTTGAATATAAATAATATAATTTTAGTGATCATCTACAAGTTCGTTTGCCATATGCAGATGATGAAGAATATATCGATTTAGATGCTGCTCAATTATCATTTTATGCTATATTGGGTGAATTATTAGGGCGATGTGCACCATCTGAAGAAACTATTAAAATGGGAAAACAAAATGCTATTCGAGCAAAATCAAGTCTTAAAAGTCTTGTTTCAATGCATGATCTTGAAGGTGTTCTTGGTCTTAAATTTCTTTTATCAAGTAAATAAAAAATATCTTTCTTTTCTGTTTTTTTAAATATAATTATTTTTCAATAAAAGATGAAAATTCAATGCCACCTGGTCTTCAGCCTTCTCATAAAATGTCAATTATACTTTTTCTTGAACGTGTCTATGGTAGTCCTGATCAAGAAACATTTTTTCGTCTTATTGAAGAGGCATTTCTTCCTGATATTCGTTGTGCTACTATTCTCGATATGGTAATTCATATCTTTATATGAATTTTTTTTTGTAAAATTAAAATTTTTTAACAGGCAGCAGTATCTGAAAATGATATGGCATTAGCATTAAATCGTTATTTATGTACTAGTGTTATACCATTAATGGCATCACATGCACATTATTTTGATAATTGTGATCATCGATCATCACTTCTTGAATCTATATTACATACGATTTATCGTTTATCAAAATGTCGTTCATTAACTAAAAATCAACTTGATAGTATTTGTGAATTTTTACTTGCTTTTGCCAGGTAGATTTGAAAAAAAAAAACATAGAAAACTAATGAAAACAAATGTTTGTTATTTAATTTAGTCAATTAAAAGCATCAATGATGACACCATTATTAAGAAAACTTGTTCATGATGTACCAGCGTTGACAGATCAAACTATTGTACCATTGAGAGTATGTTTAAATAAGATGAGAGTTGTGTTCTTATATTTTTTTTTTGTTAAAACATTTTTTTTATTTAGATGCTTACTCAATGGTATGAACAATGTAGTCGATATTATACGATTTCTGCTGCAGAAGAAGAAAAACGTTTAACAATGATGTTATTTCAAAAGATTTTTGATGCACTTGCATCTCGAGTATGTATACAGATTATAAAGTTTTTGTATTTATTTTTTTTTTCAAGTCGTTTTCTAACAGAAAAAAAAAAGATACGAGAGAATATGAGTTTCAATTAGGATAGAAGAATTTGATTTTCCAATTATGGCTGATAGAATTATGCATTAGAAAAAAAAAATCAAATTTTGATTGTGAAATATACTTACGAGTAGATATTGTCGGGTTCAAAGTTTTCGGATCTAGGCCCGGTCCAATCATACTTTGATGCTCCCAATAAAATTTTTTAATCGTTTAGGCTTACGATCCTGAATTGTTTGGAAAAGCATTGCCATGTTTAACAGGTAAGTGTGTGACTAATTTATTTATAGAAATATTTATATATATTCTCGTACTGATAGCAATTGGTAGTGCTCTATCACCAGATTATGCTTATTCAATAACGCAACAAGATTATTTGGATCACGAACGAGAAAAAGTTGAAATGTCTCGTAGTTATGAACCTAATCCAGCTGATACATCAAAGTTTGTTTGAAAACAAAAAGAATTGAATATATATATATAAATTTTAGTGTTGTATTGAGTCCGACATTAGAAGATTTTGTTAAAGCTTATGCTGAAAGTGTTCATGATCAATGGTCTTATGCTAAAGTAAATAAGAATTTTATATATTTTAGAATTTTATATATTTCTATTTTAGATCGAACAAGGTTGGACATATGGTGAACAAATTAATGATAAATTTCGTCAACATCCAAATTTAAAATCATACAAACTTCTTGATCGAATGGTTAATCATAGTTGCTTCTTTTTTTTTATTGGTTTTTATATTATGCTTCAAATATTTTAATTTAGGATATTGTTAAACTTGAAGATCCTATTCGTGAAGCATTAAAATCTATTGAAAAGTTACAATTTCATTTAGAAAAAACTGATACAGGTTTAACACGTATAGCTGCAAAACCATTACAACGAAAAAAACAAAAAGTAAAATTGAATTCAATTTATAAACGAGTAAAATCAAGAAATTCTTTCTTTTTGTCAAGGATAAAGATGCTCCAGATTATACACCGAAAGCATTGGATTTTAATAGTGTAACAATGAATCGAGATATGCAGGTAATAAAAACAAAAGTCGGATTAGGGAATATTATTCTTCTTTGGTTCTGTAGAACTTATGTATGATATACCGAATTTTATATATATGCATTCGATGGGATTTATTTTGATCGATTTTTTATTAAAGTTGAATTAATATGTTATTCATTTGAAGTCTTACACGATTTTCTTTTCTATTCAAAACAACATAATTGATATTTCGTCTAATATCAGCATGAACAGATCAGATAAGATTGGTTCCAATTCTATTTCTGTTTAGATTTTTTTCTGTTGAAATAAATTGAAAATTACATATTTTTGAATGTTCTTTTTTTTTCAGGAATTATCTGAAGCTTTAGCTCGAAATGCTCATGAAATTTGGGCAAAACAATTAAAAGATCGTCTTGCTGCAATTGGTAATTATCTAATTATTTCCATTAAAATTTATTTATCATATTGTTTAGGTGGTGGTCTTCATTGTCGACTTGTTTCATTTGAATTATTAACTGATAAAGAAAAACAAAAACATTTAAAATTTTATCAAGATCTTGTTAAATATCTTCATACATTTGGTTATCGTGTTGTCAAGTAAAATAAAAAATTAAATTAAAATTAATATATTTATGAATTTATTTAGAACTATTCATGAAGTAAATACAACAATATCAAATTTAACTCTACGTGTTGCTTTAATGTCAGCATTAATAAATGATAAACGTTTTGCATATAGTTTATTAGAAAAATTACTTGAATATGTTGAACGTGCATCAATAACAATGCAAAATTATAAAGAAAGTTCAAAATTTTCCTTACATGAAACTTATCGTTTAACAACAAAAGATGTGAAATTTTTTGGAAAAGTAAAAAATAAATGAAATTTTTTTTCTTTTAAAATAAATAAATTTTAGGTCGTTCTACCACTTATTGAAAAATATTTTCAAGCACATAGAAATTATTTTATTGTACCACCATCATTAAAAACGGGTAATAGTTATGCATCAGTTAAAGAAAAAGAAATGAGCTGTAGTTTATTTTGTAAATTGGCATTTTTACTTCGACAAAAATTTAGTGCATTTGGAAATGATGTTAGTATAACTGTTCGTTGTTTAAAAGTACTTGTTCGTGCTATTGATGTTAGGTATGTTTAGTAAATATAGAATCAATTAAAATTTCATATGAAAAAAAATTATTTTTATTTTTAATTCAGTAATGAAAAATAGTCAAGAAATGGTTCGTGCTTTATTATTACCATTATTTAATAATATTGCTGAAGATCTTAATCAAACTGTACAAAATCTCGAACAAAGACGTTATAGTAATATAAAAGGAACATTACAACGTGGAACAACTAGTCTAGCTTATATACACATGGTTCTTTTACCTGTACTTTTATCATTACTTGATCATTTGGGAAAGAATAATTATGGTGTAGATGTATTCGGTATGATATTCGCAAGAAGAATAATTAGCTTTGAGATTTAAATATAATAATAAGAACAAATTATGAGTTTAAGGAGTATAATGGGTGTCCTGTAATAAATGGCAGGGTTTTTCTCTTAATATTTATAATATCGGATTAAATAGTCTAAATATATAATGTAAGAATGGTTCCCCTGAATAATATCAAAAATGGATGTAAGTGTGGTTACGAGTGAAGAAAAGTCATTCGTAACCACACTTACATACATTCACATCTACACACACATCCTCCAGTTGATAAATAATCAAAAGAGTTTACTGGATATCTTTTAGGAAATTTCGATTGTTTGAAGTCGAAATAATTATGATGAAACCGATTGAAAAAATTCATCATGTTTCAGTTCATATTTTTGAGGACAGAGCTAAAAATTCGGTAGAAACTGTCCTCTCTTATTTTTCTGACTGAGATCCAGCAGAAGATACTGAAATCGTCGATTTTCGATGGTATTTTGTCTGTTAAGAAGGTTTCTTCTTTTGGATATCTGTGAAAAGTAGAGCTAAAGCCGCACAAATGTTCTTTCTATTACGACTTTTCATGAGGTTGTAAAACTCTTGGCAAGGCAAGGTTCCTGCTGTCCTCTTTTTAATCGCCCTGCTCTGCCCTGGGAAAAAATGGTATATAAAAAAATTTGTGTTCTGCCCTGCCCTGCAAAACAAAGAGAATATTTTAATATGTTTTTATGATTAGAATTTAAAAAAAAAACATATCTCTCATACGCACGTTAAAATTGGTTTTTCTTTTATTTTTCAGTTTTAAAATAGAGTTCAGGAGATAGTTCTCATGAAAAAAGACTAAAAAACCAGAGATATCATCAGGGTGTTTTTTCTATGCTGCTCTGCTCGGAGAAAGAAGTGATGCGCCAAAAAATTCGTGCCCTACCCAGTTCTACAGAGCGTGGGAAATATTTCAATTCAATGTTTTTGCATGATTAGAGCCATAAGAGAACATATTGCTCATTTGCATGTAAGAACAGGCTTTTACTTATTTGTTATAGTTCTCAAAGAGTCAGAGTGATAATTTTCACATCGAAAATGATCAACATTGTTAAGGATGCGTTCGTATAAGATCATTTTTTAACCCTTTCAGTCCCAAATTATTTCTGCCAGATTCAAATGAAGTAAAATGAGATAAGTTTATTTTGAACATAAATGCATAGCATTAATAACTCGCCTGTCGTCTTATGTGATTTACTCAGTATACGCTTTATTGAATCTTGCTATACTTGAATGGATATTGTGATCGCTAAAGTTTATTACTTCCAACACTTATACAAGTTTTTCATGAAATAACAAAAATCAATGTTTTTTTTAGACAAAGAGAAATGCCACAATAGCTGCATGTCATGCTATTAAACACTGGAGAAGCTCTTGTACTGCAGTATCTGCATGTTTCTTTGGATCCAGCAACATTCATTTGTGCTGATAATTGAGCTGATGAAGATTTGTTCCACGACGTTTGTTGGATTTCTTTTTCCTTTCTCGTAGAAAAGCGCATAGGTTTGCTTCTTCTTTTCCGTGAACTTTGGTCATCAGTTGATGACGTTGAGATAAAAGAAAGGAATTCAACTGCTTCCCTTTCGATTTCGACAGTGTCGTCTTTTTCATCTATTTCAAAGTCGCTTTCGTTTTCGTCCTAAGAATCATTTTTATCATCAAAAGATGACTCCCTTGTATGAATTTCTTTATCATAATCCATTTACTTCTGTTACGGAGACAATATGTATTATAGTAGCAAATTAGAAAAGAATTCGGTGCTCCGCTCAGGTTGCATACTAATTTTTGGAGATCTGGATTAATCCGAAACGCCGTCTTCAATACTTTTTTAAAAAAATGTTTGAGAACATCCCATAACTTTTCCAATGAATAACTATATATCTCATTGACAGATTGTTTGGGAGGATCCTAGAGCATTCTCTATTATTTTATTCTAATAGACTAAGTACCAATTTTTATTAATTGTTGTTATGAAAAAGAATTATAAAACATGTGTAGCCTTTTTGCTACTATGGGACTGAAAGGGTTAAGAAAATAATAGCGGAAACCTCCGATTTAAATCCGAGTGTTATGTGTACTTCAAAAAGTAAACAGATGTGTCATCATAGCATGTGTAGACATCAAAATCATCCTAGCAAGCCATTTTTCCTAAAACTTGATTTCTATTGGTTACTGTTCAACCAATAGGATTTCGAGGCAAGTGGAGCTCAGATTCAAGTTCTCGCCCCAGAAAATCTTTGTTCAAGTTTGATAAAACCTCGAAGTATCGCTTTTCTGATTCTAAGATGGGGTTTTAATTTTCGATCGATCACAGCGTGGACAAACGCAGAAGCAATTTCCGTTCAAGTATCTTTGCAATAGGTGACTTAACCTTCTCCTTTCTTAATGTTTTATATACCATTTTGTAGCTCGTGAAATTCTCTATCGAATGGTATATAATAGTGTGGGGTTTTGTTTGATTATGAGAGGAAAAGTTCTTTTACAAAAACCGAGATAGCTCAATAATCGCATAGAAAAGCATACGGAAAAAGCACTTTTTTTGCGATAACTCAACAATGACTCGACGAATCATTCTTATCTTCGAACTGGACCGAGACATTGTTGAGACAATACTGTGTAAAAAATTTCATCAAGATCGGACTCTCCTTTCAAAAGTTATCCTGTAAACGGTCGGACGGCCGGACACTGACCGATTCTAGAATGTACTTACTTTTTGAGTACACAAAAAGATGATAAAGGATGGTATGAAGGAGAAATTCGAGAAAATAACAAAATTTCTTTTCTTTCATCCTAATTTTCATATAAACATTTTTCTTTATAAAAGCTTCCTGATCAGTTAGTACGTGTTGGTTAGTTTCCTGCTAATTGTGTACAAATACAAGAAGCTGTTTCATCGACATCATTATCATCGACAACTTCACATCAAAATACATTAAGTAAATGTCAACAAAAAAAAAATNGAGCACTAATAAAAGTTAAAATTCTGTTTGGGCTTCATAGAGATATTTCAGCCCAAAAAACGTCAAAAATTAGTATTTTCTGCAGGTTTTTTCACAAAAAACGGAACACGGGTAAAACAACATCCGCTACAAAAAATGATCGCCTCAACGGGTGGCATCTATGGTAAAATTTTCAGACTTCTCGCATTTGTAATAGAGGAACTAGATAAGGTCCAATTTGACTGAGAGGTCCATCTTATAATCCCCATTTGGACCTCTTCACAAGGTTTTCAATTTTTTCGAACCTATAACTATGCTTACAGGTACGAGTCCTATAAGCCCTGAAAGTTTTATTCCATTCCGATGAAGTCGAGGCAAACTCTGGCACACTCTCGATAGAAGTACCCCCCTCCCCCGCCCCCCTGGGGCCAAAACTTCGCAAGGTGCGTTTTTGAATGTCATCTATACACTCTATTATCCAATCAATCTTGTACGAACCTCTGCTAGCTTCTAACATATATTGAAAATATTTCTCCAAGATTCTCGAAAACTCGAAGATTTCAAAATTCTCAAGGTGGGAAATTTATATCCCACTGGGCCTCAAAGGGTTAAATTGTCAGATGGGTAACCTCAAGAACGACTAAGATAATAAGAGTATACATTCGATCAGTAGTGTGTCTATTTATTGTGCTAATTGAAAACAATATTCACTGACGATTTCATTGTGAATAAAAACTTTGAAGAATCCTCTATTGCAGAGAAAAAAAACAGTCTGATAGATTAACACAGACTGAAGATGTTCAGTATTTTTATCGTCGAATTCTTTATGAGTCTCCGTCTATATATATATATGTATGTGATTTTTTTTAAAGTGTATACTCAAACAATTATTTTTAATTGTTCAATAAATCTTGTTGAACCATATTTTTTACCTGTATCACAACGTATAAAATCAAAATGTGAAGATTTATATGCACAAGAACAATCATTAAAAAATGCAACTCGCTTAGAATCATCTGAACGTGAAGATCTTGAATTAGATTTAATGAAAGTAAAAATAAAACAATATTATTTATTTGTAAATTTTCTTTTACGCTTTTGTTTTCTTCGTATTAGGATTATGAAATTCTTGTTCGTGATATTTACGCATTTGGACCATTATTAATTAAATATGTCGATATTCATCGATCGTATTGGCTTAAAAATAGTGATATACACGCAGAAGAATTATATAATAATATGGCTGAAGTATTTTCTATTTGGTGTAAATCAAAAGTAAATTAAAACTAGATATCACACAGGCTTAGTCCATAGTGCGAAGTACGTCACCAAACTTGACTCTTCATTGATGAGATCATAAAATTTTCGAATCAGTCAAAATGTCAAATTTAGCGAAAAAATCATTTTTCTATACTGTACAAAGTAGGACGATGATTTTAATGTGTGTGTTGGTGTGAGTGGTGATGGATTTTAGTCGACTATTCATCCTCACTTACGCCCACACCCGAAAAGGTATCGCGCTGACAACTAACTCAGTATATTCAGCAAGGAATGAATACAGTGTCGCTGCTAAAATTTTTTTTTGATTATCTCGTGGCCACCAGTCTCGTTTTTTCTTCAATTATCGCGAAAAAAACGAATTTATGTTGCACGCTTATTTACAATACCGCTGGCATAATACAATATTCATAAGAATACCAAATAGTGATTTGAGTTATGCATTAAGAAAAAAAGAACTCACGACTGACTATTGTATAGGTGCTTCGCACCGTAATACAAGGATAAAACATACGAAAATTTTATTTTGTTTTATAGTATTTTAAACGTGAAGAACTTAATTTTGTAACTACACATGATATTGATAATACAAGTATGTTAATGCCAAGTGGAACAAATCAAACAACAAATACAACATCAACGAAAACTACAAATGATGTTAGTGGAAAACCAAAAAGAAAAAAACGGCGACTTGACAAAGAAAAATTTACATCATTAAATGTTGCTTGTATAAAACGTTTATTAACTATTGGAATGAATACATTTGGTGGACGAGAACAAGAACTTGTTCAATTAGCTAAACATAAAATGATTGAAGTAATAACATATAATAAAACAAAATATCTTTTGAGAATATTTCATTTAAGATGAAATGAAAAAGAAAAAATTTATTCTATAATTTATTGATTTCTGATGTCTTATTTAATTAAGTATAGAGTAAATCTGAAGATTAGTTAAGAACTTTTCGAAAGTTTAGAACTCAAATTTTGATTCACGAAGGAATCTCGTCAAGTATTAAATCATAATTTCCTCGTTCATTTTGCCAGTTTAGCTGATTGGAAGAACGATTTAAAATGAAGTCTTCAATATATTTCGACAAATCTTAACCTTTCCTGAGATTCCTTGCAACTGTTTGTTCAAAAAAAAAACCGGAGAGACAGTAAAGCTTTTTGAAACTATCGAAATGGATATGAGTGAAATTTGAAAATATTTTCACATAGAACTCCAATAGAAAATTTCATGGATAAGAATACAAAAAAAAAGCACTTGGACAGTCTTACACTTTCAGGACTAGAAGACGAAAAAGGTTTTCAGACAGAATTCTTAATTGAGAAATTAATTTCAGATATTTATAAAATACCTTTCTGTTTTTGTTTTCATATTTTGTCTCTATATATTCTGAACATTATGATAGCTATCACTTTATTTTTGTAAATTAAAGAAACATATCTTTTAAAAGTCGGGTGTATATATATATATTGTTTTTTTGTCGTATTCAATAGATGAAAGTCGCTGAAGATGAAAAAATTGAAAACCCAACAGACGAACAATTGATTTTAGATTTAACGGTTGGTTTTCATAATATTTCTCCTGTATCACACACATATGTATATATTTCATGATTCTCTAGAGTGATCAAGAAGAAATCATAGAAGAATTTCTCGACGAGAGTTTTCGTGCTCAAGAACAGGTATTCGTTATCTATTTCCTTGAGCTGTATTTTTTTAGTATATTATTTCATAGGGAGAAATAGTTAATAAAAATAATTGGCAAAGTATATTATATAGAAAGATTGGTTCAAAATCGTATCATAGTGGTATAAATCATTCGGAAGAAACATCTATAAAAAATATGTTAAAAATGGCTAAAGTTTTATTTGGTTTACATTTTGTTGATCATCCTCCAACACATCGACGTAGTACATGGCGAAAACTTGTTTCGTCACAACGTAAAAAAGCTATTATGGCCTGTTTTCGTATGGCACCATTACATTCAGTTACACGACATCGTGCTATGAATATGTTTTTACGTGCATATCGTGAATTATGGCTTGAAGCTGAAGAAGATATACGTGCACGTTTAATTGAAGATCTTTGTGTAAGTTATTTTTATCGTCTGTTTTTTTTTGTGTACTCAAAAAGTGAGTACACTCTAGAATCGGTCAGTATGTCCGTTCGGCCGTTTACACGATAATTTTCGAAAGGAGAGTCAGATCATGATGAAATTTTCTACACAGTTCAATCTTAACAATGTCTCAGTCGAGTTCGAAGATGAGAAGGATCCGTCACGAAATGGCTGAGTTATCGAAAAAATTGTCATTATTGACCAGACTATCCCTGAGGGGGGGTACAGGGATTTAAAAAAAAAAATTTTTTTCTCAAAATTATTCACAACATATGTAAATCGACTCAGTTTTTAACGCTGATTCCGAATCTGATATTATTTTTGAACCAATCTTTCTATATAATATACTTTGCCAATTATTTTTATTAACTATTTCTCCCTATGAAATAATATACTAAAAAAATACAGCTCAAGGAAATAGATAACGAATACCTGTTCTTGAGCACGAAAACTCTCGTCGAGAAATTCTTCTATGATTTCTTCTTNAATTCCTGTGATTTCTAAAGATATAATATCACTGTGAGAGTAGAGTCAGTGGTCACCGGATAGGGTCGCATACAGTATGGTCCATGCTAACTTAGCACGTCTGTATTTTCTCCTTGCAATTTAGTGATAAAAAATACAGTGAATATACCTTTTCACTTTTTGAAGTACACATAACACTCGGATTTAAATCCGAGGTTTTCGCATTTATTTAAATTTTATTTTAAAAATAATTCAAGAGTGATTCTCATCAAATTAATGAACAAGATACAACAACGATGAAAGAAGAAACTGAAACTGAAACTGAAAGTTTAGCATTATCAATAACAATGAAACCAGATCCATTAAAACAATTATTACAATGTTTAAATCGAGCTGCAACTACTGCTCAAGTTTTTTCAATTACTGAAGATATTATTTATTTATCTTATTCAACGATTATGAGTAAAGTAAGATTTATAGATTGAATCAAAAAAAAAATTGATAATACAATGACTTATAAAATTATTCGAATAGATTTCTTTTTCATTGTCTTGAAAGTTAAGAAAAATCCAAATAAAAGTTCAACAAAATCAAAGGTGTTTAAACTGTAGTATACGTCTGTATTATTTAATTATACGCCCATATATAATGTTACTATTAAGGACAATTAGAGAAAAATTGCTAATCACTTGAAACATGATCGACTGTGCTAATACAAAGAGTTTCGATCTTACACGTTTATATATGACTTTTCTTTTGTCTTTTCTCATCGATTGAGCTAATGAGAAAGGTCACCAAATGCGAGTCTTAATTTTCAATCAATTTGATGTCATTTTATAGAACTCGATGAGCTGATAGCAGTAACATAAGGTGAGTTTTTCTCCAGAGACTATCTTTTAGGAATTACGTCCATCTCAGCTTCCGGATAATGACTGTAAGCTGTTATTTTAGAAATTTAAGAGATCGACCTTATGCCTCACAGGTTGTCTATGGAGAAAAACGCTGTATGCCATTATGATCAGTCTATCAAGTACTACGTGAGTGGAACCTAATAATTCACCTATTCGATTCGGTTTCGATGTCTACGGTGTTTCTTGTTCAAAAAAAATCGTCGAAACTCTTGTTAGAAATCAAAATTTTCTATTCAAACTACTATTACAAAATTTCATTAGAGTTAATGACAGTGAAAAAGAAACCAGGTTGAATAATTTTGTGAGCCACTGTATGTATATATATATATATTTGATTTTTTTTAAAGAGTTGTGTAATTGCTGAAGACGATGACGATGAAGGAGCGGAAGAAGTCAAATCATTTCAGGTAAAATAATTGAAACAAACCTTTGTTTTTTTTACAAAAAAGAAAAAAGATTTTAATAGTTAAAATTCTTTAAAAAGTAATCAGTTAATATTCGTATACATATATTAAGGAACAAGAAATGGAAAAACAAAAATTACTCTATGAACAAAATCGATTAGCTAATCGAGGTGCGTCTGAAACTGTATTATTATATATAAGTGCAAGCAAAGGTATTTTTTTTATCAATCTATTTATTTTTAAATACATATAAATTCAAAAAAAAAATTATTAAGGTGAAAATAATGAAATGCTTCGACGAACATTACAACTTGGTATATCATTATTACATGGTGGTAATCGAGAAGTTCAAAAAGTAAATATTTATTTTGTTATTTTATATATTATTGTTGTTGATTTTAGCGAATGTTAAATTATTTAAAAGAAACAAAAGATGTTGGATGTTTTACATCATTAGCAACATTAATGGCTAATTGTAGTGTACTTGATCTTGATACATTTGAACGTTGTATTAAAGCTGAAGTACTTGGTATGTTAACTTAAAGGTTTATTATTATAATATCAAATATTGTTTTTCTTCATAGGTGTTGGTTCGGAAGGAATGGCTGGAGAAAAAAATTTACATGATGCCGATTTTATAATATCACTTTTTCGTTTTTGTCAACTTTTATGTGAAGGACATAATCTTGAATTTCAAAATTATCTTCGTTTACAACCTGGAAGTAGTACAAATGTGAATATTATTATTTGTACTGTTGATTATTTACTTAGTTTACAAGTAATAAAAAAAAAACACAAAATTATGAAATATTTTCTTAAGCATATTTTAATTTAGGAATCATTAATGGATTTTTATTGGCATTATTCAGGCAAAGAAACAGTTGATTCATATGGAAAAGAAAATCTTTGTCGAGCTATTAGTGTTGCTAAACAAGTTTTTAATACATTAACTGAATACATTCAGGTTTGATATGCTAACAAAAAAAAATCTATTTCGAGAATACTAGTGAATGTACTGACGAGAGAATCTTTCGAAATGTTCTTTTTAAGATATCGAAATTTCAATTGAGTTTTTCAATAATAAAAAAAAAAGCTTAGTTCACATGGAAAATTTACTTTTGAATTTCGACTTCAAACTGTACAGATTAGTTGATTGTACAAATTTTAACTTTTCTATTATTTCCTTTCCAGAGATGTAAATATATATGAATAAAATTTACTTTTACACATGAGAGAAGTTCGAATATTCAATATCTCAAGATAGAAGACATTAGAAAAGTTATAACTTGTGTATAATGAACTAATTTCACTAAATATTTTGTTCGTACAAAGTCAGAAACCGAAAGTCAATTTTCCACGTGACCATAGTTTTTTACTGAAAAAAAAACTAATAAAATTTCGTTATCCCAAGAACAAATGTTGGAAAGATAATCGTCATCTGGTGAATTTTGTCTTTAAGAAAAAATTTTATTTTGAAGTTTTTGTATGTCAAACATAATTATTTTCTAGGGTCCATGTCCACAAAATCAATTAGCATTGGCAAATAGTCGTTTGTGGGATGCTATTGCTGGATTTTTATATATTTTTGCACATATGCAAAGAAAATTATCTCAAGTAAAATATCATCGAATTTATGTTTTAATAATAAATTTGATTATCTAGGATCCAACACAAATTGAATTATTACGTGAATTTATGAAATTACAAAAAGATATGATTATTATGTTATTATCAATGCTTGAAGGTATTCAATATAATTTTATTTATTAACATTTAATCTTTTTTTTTTTCTTCATTCATTTTTAGGCAATGTTCTCAATGGACCAAGTAAGTTTTTTTTTTTCCATAAATAAAATTTAATAATCTATTTATTTATTTGTGTTAGTTGGTAAACAAATGGTTGATACATTAATTGAATCTCAAGTTAATGTTGAATTATTATTACAATTTTTTGATATATTTCTTAAAATAAAAGATTTAACAACATCTGAAGCTTTTCAAGAATATGATGCAAATAAAGATGGATTTATATCTCCAAAAGAATTTCGTCGAGCTATGGAAGCACAAAAAGTCTATACAAAGTAAAATTATTAATTAGAATAAAAACACAAAAAAAAAAATATATCGATTGTTTTATTTAGTCAAGATATGGATTATATATTAAATTGTGTTGATATAAATCAAGATGGAAAAATTGATTTTATGGAATTTACAGAACGTTTTCATAATCCAGCTAGAGATATTGGTTTTAATATGGCTGTTTTATTAACAAATCTTTCTGAACATATGCCACATGATATACGTTTACAACGTTTAATGGATAAAGGAAAAAGTTTTCTATCATATTTTCAAGATCATCTTGGTAGAATTGAAATTAAAGGTGGTGCTGGTTATATTGAACGTGTCTATTTTGAAATAACTGAATCAAATATTGAACAATGGAATAAACCACATATTAAAGTTTGTTTATCTCTAGACGAACAAAAGAGAACAAATCAATTTTTTTTTTATTTGTTCAATTTCATTTTAGGAATCGAAAAAAGCATTTTTACATTTAGTAGTCAATGAAACAGATGATAAAGAAAAATTAGAACAATTTATTAATTTTTGTGAAGATACTATTTTTGAAGTAAGATAATAAAACATAATCTAATAGAAATGTTGAAATATATAAGATAGAAATATGCACTCGGTTATATCTAAATATAAATTTTAAGCATATCTTCATTGTGAATATTTGATTATCACTAATTTTGCAATTACAATATGTTCAAAAATTTAATATAATCGAGCAAAAGAATGAAATAGCAAGTGATATTAGCAGATTTGTCCTAGATTAATGAAGAAAGTTTCCCATGGAATAATGCACTTTTTGAGTCTGTACTATTTCTATCATGTGGATTCTAGTGAGCTATGAATACTCTAAGAAGAACTCGGGCTCTGAGTTTATTACTGCAGTGATACTGTAGTTTTACCGTACTATTCAACTTATTGCTGTGGCCTCCTCCTCAAGAGCACCAGGAAAACTCCTCACAGTAACATATCTGAGTGAGCATAGTTTATTGTGAAAGTTTCGGATTTTTCGATCTGCTGTCCTGAAATAAGAAGATCGCACTAGACAGTGTGTATGAGTAATCTAAAAAACCTCTTTTATTATAGCGGTGTTCCTAAGTGCAACCACAACAATGAGCTAAGGATCCGAACTCTTTTAAGGATATTCATACCTTATTAGGATCTACATAATGCAGAGAGTATCGGCTCTAAAGCAATTAGTCGACGACAAAAGTTTCGCCCGCTGACTATATCATTTATTTTACGCTTAATAAGGACATTAAAAAAAGATAATATTATTATCACATATACAGTTCTTAGATACTTCGTTACTCATATTCAGCTTTTTTATTTCTTTAAGTTTTTTGTTTTAAATTGATTAAATACTAGAAACCATTAAAAAATTCGAAATTTGGCTCATGAAGAATGTTTATTTGCGGTGAAAGAAGCACAAAAGCCAAACAAGACATTCAATACAATAGCACATCAACTGGATTGTGATCGCCGAACTGTTTGTCGTGCTATCGCTCGCTTAAATGCAACAGGATTATTAACTGAACAGGAAAGATCAGGTCGACCACTTTCCCTCACTGGAGGACAACAACAGCGGTCACTGGACAAGTACATCTCAAAAAATCTAACTGCAACTTCTAATCAACTTTCGAACTATATCTTTAACAAGTTCTGCATTCGAGCACAAACCGAAGTTAAATGAACAAAAACTCAAGTCGAAAAACTTCATTTATTTGCAGTGGAGCATCAAAGTAGTGATCTCAAAATATGGATTTTCATTGATGAGACACAGATCAATTGCGTAACACAGGTAAAATCGATTGGGTGAAACGTGGGGAAGCAACGCCTACACATGAAATATCTTCTCGTTCGTGCTTATACCAACTTATGGGGTACAGTTTGGTGGAATGGCAAAACGTTCGCAAGACTGCTTTCATTGACTAATTTTTTAATGGTTTCTAGTATTTAATCAATTTAAAACAGAAAACTTAAAGAAATAGAAAAGCTGAATATGAGTAACGAAGTATCGAAGAACAGTGTATGTGATAAAAATATTATCTTTTGTTAATGCTCTTATAAAACGTAAAATAAACGATATAGTCAGCGGGCGAAACTTTTGTCGTCGACTAAATTAACCACTTGTGAAATAAAAAGAAAGAATTTCCGAAACAATCTCGAAAACTTTTCCACTATAATATGTTCAGAAATCCTTAATTTTGAATGTCCCACGATATGAAATTTTCTTTTACAGTGAATATCATGATTAATCGATCTGGAAAGTATTCTAACTGAATCTTATCTATATGCAAATCTTTCAGATTTACTTTTTATTTCAATAGAAATTTTCTTAGAACAATTGATAATTTGATTTTCTTTCATTTTATAATTAAGATGCAACATGCAGTTGCTATTAGTGGTGAAGAAGATGATCAAACACATCAAGCAGTGAAATCTTCAAATATTGAACCAAATATTGTTCATTCAACAAAATCTAAACCTATAAAATTAGCACTTTCATATTCCTGGTCGAATATAAAATATCTCTTTCATTTACTTCATCCATCAACAATTTATAATACTTATAATCATTTTCGACAAATGACATTTAAAGATATGATTAAAAATCTATTTTTATTATTAATCAAATGTATTCAATTATTATTTATCATAATTATTTGTGTGTTTAGGTATGTTAAAAAATATTGTTTCAACCATGAATTTATTATGATAAAATTTTCTTCAGTTCTTATATGAGAAAAAAAAAACCATTGTTATTGTACTATAACAAGGAATATTTGATGAATAGTATGAAAAATTTAAATTTAAAAACAAATAGAGATTATGCCGATCGACTGACCGTCAGCCGGCCGAAGTTCCTAATACTTCTAGGAGTTGTCGATGAATGTATTGACTTACACCTCTTCATACAAAAAGAACTATTCCAAAAAGAGAGAACTAACACCACAGACTTTAACAGGTTCATCTAGAAATAACTAGAATTCAATCCGAACAAGTTTGATCTCGTACTATGAATATGCTTTTAATATATCCTTAATATTATCATTCAATAGAACGATTTGATAGTTCGAATGTAAAACAAAAACAATCGGTTTTCTTTGTTATGTTCTATAAAACTCAATGAATACTTTTAACTAAAAGACACTAATGATTTTCATGTTTACATAGAACATTAACATACTGTATTTGTAATTTAATGGTTGAAGATGATCAACAAGATATACAAAGACCAGAACGAACTTCTTTACCATCATTGCCACACCATCATGACTATCGTCTACGTATATTTCGAATTCTAGCGCAAAAAAAAAAAGATCAAACTGAACCTTGTTATGTTTTTTTAATTTTAGCTTCGATTAGTATTCCACAACATGGTTCTGCAGATGGTGAAGATTTAATAGCAGTCAATGCATTTGGAGTTGATCTTAATTTAGATTTAGAAATAAAACATAGGTAAATATATATAATGATTCAGTTCTTATCCTTCGCATTTTTATTAACATTATAGAATGTCTTTAACTGATGAAGAAATAAATTTAATTGTAACGGATAGTACTCGAATGATTGATTCTCACCAAAAACCTTCATTTATGCATAATATTGATTTATCATCAGGACAATATTTATCATCATCAATTACAAGTACAACTACACAGTTCTCACCATCAATAACAACTTCTGGACCTTATAGATCACAATCAATTACGGCAACAAGTATGTCACAAAATGGAATTGAAAAATCTAAACGTGCACTTGAAGTAAATTTTTATTGTTTGTGTATGTTTATTTGAGTATTGACCTTTGCTTTTTCTTCTTTCTCAAGGTAAATACTCAAGCTGAATATCAACAAAGACGAACATCAGCTAATACCAATAACATAACAGGCGAAGATGATGATGTCACTCCTTCCGAACCACCGACACGAACAGATTTTGGAAAGAAAGCTCTGGTAAATAAAGTCTTAACGAGCGTTTTTGTCAAGCTACACAATGAAACACATAGGATTTCCTTTAAGAAAACGCAAAGAGATTTATTGCTTTTTGTGAGAGTTTCTGTTCCATCTACACTATTTTATTTCTTATTTTTGGATTAAACTTATATCATATATGTTGTAGTAAACATGAAATTTATGTTTGGGCCATCGTTCGACAAGAAACATTAGGTTACTCTGAAAATACTGAGTGAGAATTTCAAGATTTTGACATGCAAGAGAAATGGAACAAAGATAATAATCTGATTAGTTCCAACAATTCAGAATATCAATATTCGAGCAAATGAACTTATCTTTTCGATGAGGAAAGATGATAGAAGGAACTTCAGCTACATGTAAAAATATCAAAAATCAGTCATCTTGTTTTTATAAGAAACAGTGCAAAAATTTATAAGCTGCCTTTTTTAAGTTTTAATGCTCAGAGCAAAAAATAAGTGTTGCACATTATATGACTCTCTTTGTAATTAAGCAATAATGACGCTGCAATGCCAATGATCTATATTCTTGATGACGTACATGCATACAAATTTTCAGACTTTCAGCAAATATAGTGACCAAGATCGGATGAGATCGATATAGAAATATCACATATTTATCTTTGAGATTGACGACCAGAGAACACATACATATTGGTATATTGCCGTAGAATAGCAATTAGAGAATAGTCGATCATTTAAGTATTAAACTACCGCTGATATAACGTTCATTATACTAAACAGTTTATCGGCGATTATTATCCAATTCGAATCACATGGGATTAGGATTTGTCAATCCAATAATAACATAATATCTCGTATTGATATTGAGTGTCAAAAAATTTGAAATTATTATTCTTTGATCATTTTTCATATGATAATTTGGCTAACAACTTTGATTGAAATAATTATTTTAAAATAGGCATTGATGGCAAGAAACTACCATACATTGAAACTTATGGCTCTTTGTCTTGCTTTTATAATAAATTTTCTTATGTTATTTTATAGGGTAATTATTTGTTTTCTTTCTTTCTTTTCATTAATTGATAAAATGATGTGTCAACTATTTTAGGCGATGCCATTAGCTGCAATAGTTAATGAACCAGGTTCTTCTGATGATATGGAACAAGTTGATGAAGATGAAAATGACAATGAAATAATAGTAATGGATCCAAAAAAACATTATATGATTTATTTATTACAAGCAGCTGCATTTTTACATTCATCAATTGCATTTTTAATGATGATTAGTTATTATAAATTAAAAGTAGAAAAATTTTGATTCTTTTCTTTTTTTCTTATTTTTAAAATGACAATTTGTTTATGTTTTTTTTTTTTGTCTAGGTCCCATTAGTTATATTTAAACGAGAAAAAGAAATAGCTCGAAAATTAGAATTTGAAGGTGCTTGGTTAATTGATCAACCAAGTGAAAACAATTCTTGGATATTATCATATTTATCACGTGAATGGCATAAACTTGTTATTAGTTCAAAATCATTTCCTGATTCTTATTGGGATAAATTTGTTAAGAAAAAAGTTCGAAATAAATATTCCGATCAATTTGATTATGATGAATTAAGTCGATTTTTGGGTATGGAAAAAAATGATACACCCGGAAAATTTGAAATTGTTAAACCAGTTGAAACCGGTCTATGGGCAAAGTATATAAAGCAAAAAAAAAAAAAAAAGCTTAATAAACAATTGAATTTTATTAATTTAGGATTAAATCTATTGATATGCGTTATCAAATTTGGAAATGGGGTATTATCTTTACTGATAACGTAAGTCATGAATTAAAAGATTCAAAAATTAAAAAAAGAAAAGTTCATTTTCATATTGCTGAGAATTAGTCAGTACTTTGTAGGACTACGACAGCTCCAGCTCACGAACTGGGCTGAAACGAACGGATGAATTGTTCGAAAAGTTCAGTTCAGTTCGGAGGAACTGTTCGAACAGTTCTTTCGAACTGAGCTGAACTGTTCGAACAGTTCAGTTCAGCTCATCAGAACTGTTCGACCAGTTCCTCCGAACTGAACTGAACTGAACTGTTCAGACAGTTCAGCTCAGCTCCGAGAACTGACAAAATGTCTTATATATTAGGGATACCCTTAGTACCTCGAGTCCTATATATTTGGGGTACCCTTAGTACCTCAAGTCCTATAAATTTGGGGTACCCTTAGTACATAGGGTGTCGGTGTGGGTGTAGGTCATATTTTTGAAAAAAAAATTTTTTTTCGAAAAATTTTTATTATTGCAGAGATCGACTTTTTGAGAAAAAATAAAATTTTTCGAAAGCACCCCAAAATTTTTTTCATACTAAGGGTACCCCTAATATATAGGACTTGAGGACTAAGGGTACTCCTATATGAGACATTTCATCAGTCCTGCGAGCTGAGCTGAACTGTTTGAACAGTTCAGTTCAGTTCGAACAGTTCAGTTCAGTTTGGGAGAACTGTTCGAACAGTTCACCAGTTCGGAACGATTTCCGAACTGTCATAGTCCTAGTCATGACTGTATTAAAATGTTTCTTTGTTGAGATATTGAATTTCCAAAAATGGTCGTTTATCACAAAAATTCAGTTTACTTAGAACTCAATATCTTAGTGTAGGAATATTTTGTTTAGCTAAAATTTTCAGAATATTCCACGGATCATTAGACTCATCTATGGACAAAATTTCAAGTCGATAATTCACTATTTCTTTTTGAGTAAATATCTGAAAATCTCAGTACAACGGTCGTAACTCTACTCCAAAAGTCCTTGAAGATGAACTTTTTCGGATTAAGAATGAGCTCAAACAATGATTTACAGTTGAATTATTACTTTTGTTAACTAAATATATCTTGATTTTAGTATGTTAAAAATAACAAGGAAGCTGATAATGATTGGTTTCGTCTTGAATCAAATCAAGACGGAACTCGTTGGTGGGGAAAAGCATGGACAATACAAGATATGTTACGTTATGAGTTTGATATTGAATTTGATGTAAATTTAATTAAATTTTCTTTTTGTTATTATTTCATTTGTTTTATTGTAAATAGATACCTGTTACATATCCAATGACAGCTCCTGAAATTGCAATACCAGATCTTGATGGAAAAACAGCAAAAATGTATCGGTAAGTCTTATTAAACAAGGTTTTTCATCGAATTCTTTTGTTATCTTTTTAGTGGAGGAAAAATTTGTATGACTGATCATTTTCAACCATTATGGGCTCGAAATGTGCCACGTTTTGGTATTGCACATGCACTAGCTCTTGGTGTAAGTAGAATAAATATAATCATATTTGTAAATATTGACTTTTTTTTTTAAATTTCTATTTGAAATAGCTTGGTCCTTGGTTGGCTGTTGAAATACCTGATTTAATTGCTCGTGGTGTTGTCGTACATAAAGAACGAACAACAACGAATGGTGATAGTGCTGCATCATCGACGAAATAGAAAAAAAAAAAAAAAATCTTTTTATCTTTGTTCATTATCAAAATAAAACTTCGTTATTGAGAAATAAAAAAGCGAACATTTTAATTTGCAATAAATAATTAAAGAAAAAAAAAATTATATTTTTTTTCTCTTTTATTTAAGATGGTTCAGATTAGTTTTTCTAAACAATGTAAGTTCAATAAATTATATTAAGAAAAAATAACGTAATAAATTTTATTCATAGTACATAAGATACGTTTTAAACTTTTATTTACGCAATATTTAATTATAATTATGTTTAAAAAACATAAAATACAACGTTTTCGTTTTGTTATTTTCTTTCTTATTTTTACAATATTTTTTTTCTACATTATTTATAATAATCAAAACAAGAGTAAAAATCAATCTATGGAAGCTTTTCCGACGCAAATTTTTCATATAAATACATCTACTTACATTCCTATTTCAAAAATTAAATCTCAATCTTATCGTCTTGTACTTCTTTGGACTAGTCTATTTAATAATTATTATTGGCATCAAGATTTATTTTTTAATTTATCTACAATTATTTCTTGTTCACCGATACATCAATGTCAATTTACACGTGATAAGCGTAAATTATCTCAAGCATCTCTCGTTGCATTTCATTTGTATGATATAAACAGAATTCAATTACCGGAAAGAAAACAATTAAAAAATAATAATCAAAATTGGATATTTATTACAGGTGAAAGTCCAATTAATTTTTATTATCAAAATCCATCATTTTATCCACAAACATTGGATCAATATTTCGATAGATCAATATCATATAAATATGATTCGCTATTTTCAATATTTTCACCAATAGTAAAATCTCAAATATTATCTAAAGAAATATCAAATTTATCATTATCATATAAAACTAAAATACAATATGAACGACAATTGAATATAAAAAGTTTAAAATCTAAAAAAAAACCAATTGCATGGATTGTATCGAATTGTATAACATTTTCTCAACGTGAAAAATATGTTGAAAATTTAAAAAAATTTATTCAAGTTGATATTTATGGTAAATGTGGTATTTCATGCTCAAAAGAAAATAATGATCAATGTAATATTAATCTTGATGAATATTATTTTTATTTAGCATTTGAAAATACACGTTGTAATTCATATATAACAGAAAAATTTTGGAATATTATTTCTGATAATACTCATCGTCTTGTACCGATTGTTATGGGTGCAAATGATAATGATTATGAACGTATAGCACCTAAACAATCTTATATTCATGTTAATAATTATAAAACACCTGAAAATCTTGCTAAATATCTTAATTATCTTATTAATGATCCTGAAAAATATCTTAAATATCTTCAATGGCGTGAACATACAAAAATTGAATCAAAAATTCCTACAACATGGATGAGTCTTTTATGTCCTCTATGTCAGATGTCATATGATACTCAATTATCAATAGATGATCGACTTAATTTTTCATTATGGTACAATCCAAAAATTGAATGTCATCATAATGATGTTAAAATGTTTACACAATGCAAACAAACAAATTTAAGAGTTTGGATGAATTGGATACATAATATCAAATGTCCATAGAAGATATATATATATATTATTATATGATTTCAATATTTTTCACGCAATATTTTCTTTTTTTATAAGTAACATTGCATTTCTGACTATGAGGGATTGTTATTAAACTTTTCACTGAATACAAATCCTAATAAACTAATACTGATATTAAACATATAAAACTGAAAAATTTTATTGCAATTATATTTGAAATCGACTAGAATGATCAAAAGTTGTACAAGAGACAAGAAGATTTAGGATTGTATGTACTTGTATAGAAATCAAGATTATAACAATAGTAAATATTGATATATTTTGTTTTTGAATAGCTCTATTAAGATTAATTAAAGGGTTATAATACGTACTAAATCTGTTGTATTTATTGTTAAATAAGGTTTAGAAATTCAATTGTTTGTATTACCCACAAAAGTATTATTAAAGTAATTGATTTATAGAGATCATTTTGATTTCGTTTCTATAAAGTTACATCTTTTCGTATGGCTACTATTTAACTGCTAAGTAAATTAAAATAAAAGCTAAGTAAAAAAATGAATATTTTCTAAGTAATTTCAAAAATAGAATTCTAAGTAAAAAAATCATTTTTGAAAAGTTTTTTATTTAAATTCTAAGTAAAATATTGACCATATCTAACAATGGAGGTTCGTGTACTGTAACCGAGCTAGATTTGATATTTTAGCATCAAAAGATAGCTCTCATCGTCAAACTAACAAGGTTAAAATATTAGCGGCTGTTGGCTTGCCTGGAGGGAGATATTTAACTTTTAAGTATAGGTATAAAAATGAATCAGGAAAGGTTTTCTCCACTATTATAAGGACAAAACATAGTGTTGTTCGGGCCGATTATGGGGTTTGTAGGGACCCTCTTTCATATGGCCCGAACAACACCATGTTTTGTCCTTATAAAAGTAGAGTGAATTTCTTGGTGGTTGATAGAAAACTCTGTTTTCTATGAGCTACAGAA